TTTCCAAATATTTTTCCTTTGCAGGATGGCTTGAAGGAGAGCATATCTGGATTCATTTCGCATAATATATCCGAAGAATTATAACTTTCGAGATTTAATGGTTGTCAGTACCTCTCGGTTCTTATTCATTCTTCTGAGGACCTCCTCATTTGTGACTCGGTCAGTCCACGGGATCTTAAGCATTCTCCGTTATAGCCACATCTCAAATACTTCCAGTTTTTTGCACATATCTTCATTCGCCCACCATCCGATTGAAGGTGGATCTAGCTTTTGCAATGCGTGCTCTAATCTCCTGGTTGTTGGTCCATTCTTCATTTATTATGGTGCCGAGGTAGTTGTAGTGCGTCACTCTTTCTACAGGAGATTGGTTGACGTAGAGTTGACCTTCTGTTATCCTTTTCTTGCAAATTATCATAAGCTTTGTCTTCTTAACGTTTACATTGAGTCCATATTGTTGACTGTAATATGTGATTTTGTGTCGGTCAGATAGCTCAGCGGGCTGTGCGGCTGCCTCTCATTCGCTTCACTGTCGAATGGTTCAGTGGATGTGGGATCGAGCCCCAGCTCGGTGTACAGAAAACAAAAAGTCTAACGCAGCAGTTTAAAATTCTAGATGAATCTGCGGCTTAGACTAGAATATGCTGGGATCTGATCGGCCTATGGTGGAGCAGTACGGCAAGAGATAAGGGCTTGCGTCTCGGTGATACTCCTCCATAGATCCCTACCGGACGGGCGTAACGCCTAAAAAAACCGGATATATATATGTGATTTTGTTCATAAGAACTTGTAGGTCTTCTAAGTTGTCCGCAAATACTATGGTGTCATCTGCATATCTGATGTTTGTTAAGCCGATAACCATTTAGTAGAATACCTTTTTCAGTTTCGTGCAAAGCTTCGATAAATATTCTTTCAGAGTACAGATTGAAGATTAGAGGAGACAAAATAAAGCCTTGCCTCACTCCACGCATGATTTTCACATAGTCAGTGTGTTCACCTTCGACTCTTAGATTTGCTGTCTGATTCCAGTAAAGATTTCTAATTATTTTCAGTTCTTTTTTGTTAATTCCTGCTTCTTTTAGTATTTGCATTATTTTGGCGTGCTGTACTCGATCAAACGCTTTCTCGTAATCAACCAGATATGCGTATACGTCGCAGTTGACGTCTCTGCATCTCTGGAATAAGCCTTGTACTGAGAACAAAGCCTCTCTAGTACCAACAGCATTTGTGAACCCGAACTGGTTGGGGGAAATTTGACTTTCACAGAGCTTGTAGATTCTCTTATGAATTATCTTTAGGAACAATTTTAGGAGATGATTCATGAGGCTTATAGTACGGTAATCTTCGCATTTTTTTTGGCTCCTGGTTTTTTTTGAGGTGCAATAAACTCAGATTTCAGCCAATCTGTTGGTATTTCTCCAGAGTTTTATATGTTGTTGAATATCTTTGCGATTATTGCTATTGATTCGTTGTCCATTAGTTGGAGTAGTTCTGCTTGTATGTTATCAGGGTCTGCCGCTCTGCCATCCTTTAACTGTGTTATTACGGAATAAACTTCCTGCTGTAATATTCTTGGTCCATTATTTACCTCTTCTTCTAGCTCAAAGGTGTTATCTCTTTGGTCTTCAAATATTTTTTTTAGATATTCTTTCCACGTTCTTATTTTACTCTGTCGTAAGATGATCTTTCTGTCAGAATCAGTTATATTTCCTTTCTGCTTTCGTCTTAGTCCTCCTGTGAGTTCTTTAACTTTCTTATGTACCGGGTGGTCCAATAAGCCGATCTCTCGGCTATATATCAGAAACTATTCATGTTATAACTTTAGGAAAAAAAATTTCCTAGTAAAAGTGGTCAAGAGAAATCGCTGGAAATAACTTTCAAGTTTCTGGGTTAACCGCTAGGGGCGTAACCTGTGAATAAAAATTTGAAAACCAGTTTCTTTTTAATTATGCCCAATTATACCAAGTGTTAAATAAGTAAATTAGAAAGAGGCCTAAATTCCGCACAAAGTTGTTTAAGTTCTTTTTTTTTATTTTTTTAAATAAAGGGTGGGGGAGAGTGGGAAAGTATTTGTGGATAAATGCCTATAACTTTGGTTTGGATCAACCGATTTTAACAAAATTAGTGTCATTAGAAAGAATATGGATGATTTAATTTATATCTACTATAAAACAATTGAATTTAGTTTAAATTGTCATGGGTAGAGGGTACTTTTGAATAGAAAAAATTAAAATTTATTTTTCTTTAAAATGTTTAATGGAAACACCTATTTATTATAAATTATAATGGAACTGGATAAAAGTCGTAACAAAATGGCGCAAAACCGTATGTTGATAGCTTTTGTAGAACTCGAGATATGAATAAAAACGCATAAACATAAGTAAGTATAGTATTGACTCACCCTGTATTATAAATTAAATTAAAAAATAAGTCAGTAGGTACTTTCAAATTTTTATGTAGTAAAAGAATCTTAATGTTGATACCTATTTTGACCATTGGTATTTTATATGAATAAAAATAGTTTTTTCGAAAGTGTTATAATCCGAATTGAAGATTGCACTTTTTGACTCACCCTTTATTATAACTGAAAATTAAATATGTGAAAGATTATACAAACATCTCGATCATTAAAACTTAATGTCCAATTAAATGTTCAAATTGTTTTCCATCATTGTTCACACAAAGATGTAATCTTTCGCGGGTAGACATAACAGCTGCTTCAATCTCAGCTGTTGTTATACTATTTATTCTGTTTATAATGCGCTGTTTCATCTCGACTCGCGTGGTTGGTCAAGTTTGTTACACTAAGTCATTCAATCTTCCCCACAGATAAAAGTCCAGATATGTTAAGTCTGGAGATTCCCCTTCCAATCCATTTATTTGAATAACTTGCATACAAATAATCTCGAACTCATCTGGAAAAGTGCGCAGGACACCCATCATGTTGTAATATCATATCTCTTCTTGTTTGTAAGGAAATATCTTCTAATAAAACAGGCAACTGATTTTCCAGAAAATCCAAATATTTTCGCCATTTAAAGATATATCAAAGAAATATGGACCTACGATCTTTCCATCAACTATACCACACCAAACATTAGGACTCCTTCTACCTTGAACCTGCACCTCATGTATCCAATGCAGATTTTCTTTAGCCCAATAATGCATATTATGCAGATTAACACCACCCGCACTATTACGTAGCCTTGTCTGTTCACAAAATCTTTGACATGATAGGCGATGTTCTTCTAGCAGACCTAACATCCAATTGCAGTAATCCAGCCTTGCATCAAAATCTCTCTCATGTAAAGCTTGGTGGAGAACTACATGATAACGATGCAGTCTGAAAAAAACAGAACAACAAATATTATTGAAAAAGAAACCACTATATTTACAAAAATCTTGAAAAATCTACAATTGTTTCACATGATAAATCGTGCATAAGTATTTTTAAGAAACGTATAAAAGGATGAAAGCGCCGTGTTGCCGTTTTTATCGGAACATTAAAATAACAGTTGAATCTAAAGTTTAAAGGGAATTCCAAGTTTTTGACCTAAACGTTCACTTTATAATAAGAAAAACCAACCTGTGATGTTTTAAAATTCTTAGAACAGTAGTTTTGGGTATGTTTAATTCTATAGAGATTTGCCGACTACTTATATGTGGATTCTGTTAAATTAAAGCAAGAACATTGATTGTATTATCTTCGGTCATACCTCTACTACATAGTTTAAAACAAGGACTATGAAAAGTACCAGTTTCTCTAAATCTTCTTACCTTTCTTGTAAATACTTCTTTGCCATAATGTCTCCTATCTGGATATCTTACAGAATATATACGTGAGGCAATAGCGGCATTTTGGTGACATTCGAAATAAACTCAAATCATATCATACAATTCTGCATTTGATATACTCATCACGGATTATTAGTATTCATTATTAATTACTGATATTACCAATATTAATATCTATTGAAAAAGTGCAATCTTCAATTCGGATTATAATATAACACTTTCGAAAAAACTATTTTTAATCATATAAAATACCAACGGTCAAAATAGGTATCAACATTAAGATACTTTTACTATAAAAAAATTTGAAAGTACCTACTGACTTATTTTTTAATTTAATTAATCATACAGGGTGAGTCAATACTATACTTACTTATGTTTATGCGTTTTTATTCATATCTCGAGTTCGACAAAAGCTAGTAACATGCAGTTTGCGCCATTTTGTTACGAATTTAATCCAGTTCCATTATAGTTTGCAATAAATAGGTGTTTTCATTAAACATTTTGAAGAAAAACTAATTTTATTTTTTTCTATTTAAAAGTACCCTCTACCTATGACAATTAAAACTAAATGCAATTATTTTATAGTAGATGTAAATTAATTCATTCACACTTTTTCTAATGACACTAATCTCGTTAAAATCGGTTAATCCAATCCAAAGTTATAGGTATTTATCCACAAATACTTCCCCACTCTCCCCCACCCTTTATTTGAAAAAATAAAAAAAAGTACTTGAACAACTTTCTGAAGTTTTAAATCCTCTTTCTAGTTTATTTATTTAACACTTGGTATAATTGGGCATATTACTAAAAAAACTGGTTTCTTTACAGGTTACGCCCCCTAGCGGTTAACCTAGAAACTTGAAAGTTATTTCCAGTGATTTCTCTTGGCCACTTTTAGTAAGAAATTTTTTCTCCTAAAGTTATAACATGAATAGTTTCTGATTTATAGCCGAGCGATCGGTTTATTGGACCACCCGGTACATTGTAACTATCGTACTTTGACTGCAGAGTCTCAATTTCTTCGCATCTCTCCCTTGCTTCTAATCTAGCATCTTGTCCACACTTCCCCAGGAATATCATCTGGTTCAATTGCCTTTCCTTTCCTTATTTTTTGAACAGCTTGAACCACTTCCATTTTTATTATTTTGGTGATCATTGCTGTTAATGTTTCATCTTAATAGGTATTTATACAAACCAAAAATTTTGTTTATATCTTTAATAAAAAATATTTACAAACAAGTTATTTAAACTATTTATTTAAAGTTATTCACACACTTTTACTTTTTTTGCAGCTTTCACTTTAAAGTTGAGCCCTAATTTATATTGCACTTCGTCCCAATTTTTCGATGCTATAGCATTTGCCTTCTCGCGTCCCTGTTCCAGAATTTCCAAGAGTAACTGAGGTTCAGACAAATAACCTGATATCCTATCTTGAATTGGCGTCACGAAATTAACTACTGCATCTGCTACAACGAGTTTATACCTACAACAAAAATATTATTATAAAAGAGACAATTTCCACAGGAGAAAAATGTCAATTCGACATCAGCATGAAATTGGTTAATGTAATTTAAGTTGCTTACATTTGACGCAATTCGGTAATAGTTTGATAATAAAATTAAATTGCCTATTTATTTATACACCTCTTTTACGTTTCATAAATTATGAACTTGTGATTATTAATTATGATTTTATGATTATAATTATTTTTGTCGGTCAGATAGCTCAGCGGGCTGTGCGGCTGCCTCTCATTCGCTTCACTGTCGAATGGTTCAGTGGATGTGGGATCGAGCCCCAGCTCGGTGTACAGAAAACAAAAAGTCTAACGCAGCAGTTTAAAATTCTAGATGAATCTGCGGCTTAGGCTAGAATATGCTGGGATCTGATCGGCCTATGGTGGAGCAGTACGGCAAGAGATAAGGGCTTGCGTCTCGGTGATACTCCTCCATAGATCCCTACCGGACGGGCGTAACGCCTAAAAAACCGGATATATATCGATTATTAATTTACTTTTTTTATTGGGAATAAGCCACAATTTTACTTTATAATAAGTTTATTTCGAAGTTTCGATTTCCACTCCGGAAATCATAGAAATGTTTTGAAAACTTTACCTACATACACTAGCTGAAAATGACAGAAGATCGACATTAATCAAACCAAAAGATAGTTCCAGTTAATACTATAAATTTTATAACTTACTCTCCAGTATTGATATTTTTGGCGTCCTTGCATATATCGTCCACCGATTTATTTGTAACAAAAGAATGTATATTTATAAGATTTGATACACCCGGTCTTCCTTCGGGATCGTAAGTAACCTAAAAATATATAAAATTAATAATCACAAGAAAATATATATTTTTTTAATACCATGTGAAAATCTGTGATCTATTTAAATATTCTATTTTTTAATACCATGTATATTGACATAAAAATACACAAGGTATGTATCAAAAGTATCCAACATACCTACTACACTGATGCCAAAAAAGAAATTCAAAATGAATATGTTAGTGAAAATCGAAGTATCAATTATTAAGAAAAATAATAAGTGTACCTACCTCTGAAGTGAAATCAGTAACAGCTTTTTTAATATTCCGTACAATATCGTCAGGCCTGTCCGTTAAACAAATTCTACTTTTATGATCTGGATCAGATTTCGACATTTTTTTGGAGGGATCTCTTAAACTTCTTAATCTTGCATATTCAGAACCTGTAATTTTAAGAAAATGTAAATAACGAAACATTACACCCAATTAAATATAATTCTAAACTTTTACTATAATAAAATAGTAAGATTTATATTACAATTTTTATACAGTAATAACAATATATAAAATAAAATATTAAAAATAATTTTATTGCCAAAGTCGGCGGAATTTAAATTATTAATTACTTAAAATACAGTAGAACCAGTAAGTCAAGTACAACTTAAAAAGAAGAATTGACAAGTGACGTAATGTCATCAACCCTTTTAGTACAAAATATTTACATTTGTATTTTTTATATTGTGGTGTTAATTTAAAAAAAATGTCGGAGTACGATAAAGTTCGCATTGGAAAACTAGTATTAAAAGGAGAAAAACAAAAATCGAAGAAACGCAAACACAAACCTAAACAACAAGAGGAAGAAACGCCAAAAGTGGATGTTGATAGTGCAAAACACGGAAACTGGTGGTCCATAAAGAAAAAGGAGGAGATGGTTGGCCCTATAGCTATCCAATTCGGTGCCCATACATATGTAAGAGCTCTAGATAACGGACTTTTTACTCTAGGAGCCCCTCACAGAGACGGGCAAGGACCTTCTCCTGAAGAAATCTTAACAGCTATACCAATAAATGAAAGAAAAATAGCTTTCAAATCAGGGTACAATAAATATTTACGAGTAGAAAAAAATGGAGTCGTCACTGGAAGATCCGATGCCATAGGGGCCATGGAGCAATGGGAACCTGTATTCCAAGATGGTAAAACAGCCTTAATAGGTTATAATGACTGTTTTCTCAGCGTAAGCCCTGAAGATGATACAATTATTGCTGATGCAAAGAAAGCTGGACCAGGACAATACATTACTCTCAGATCTCAAACAGTTAAGGAAGAAACTAGTGTGTCTGAAGTTGCAAATGAGGATCAGGGAAATGTAAAGCAAATCGAGATTAACTATGTGAAAAAGTTCCAGAAATTTCAAGATAAGAAGATGAGAATTTGTAATGAAGGTAGTAAAGATTTAAAGAAGGCCCAAAAGGATGGTACTCTACATGAATCATTGTTGGATAGAAGAAGTAAAATGAAAGCAGATAGATATTGTAAATAAATATATAATAAATAAATTTAAATAATGATTATTTATATATTACTCCAACCAGGAATATGCAGAATTTGGTCTAAATATCAAACATTTATGTTATTGTGTGTAATGACTATTTAGATGGTGTTAAATAGGAATCTTTTTGCAACAAAGCTTTTTTATAAATATGTTCAAATGCTTATGCTGAATTTTATCATGGCCTTGTACAGTGTGTTTCTTTCAACGCTATCATAGGCACATCTAAAATCAACAAACAGGTGATGAGTATCAATGCCATACTCATATGTTTTTTCCAGAGCTTCCTTAGAAGGAATATTTGATCGGTTGTTGATCTTTCTTTATGAAACCCATACCGATATTTACCTATAATGTCTTCACAATATCCTGATAGTCAGTCATGGAGAATATATGGCAATATTTTGTATGATACATTTAGGAGGGTTATTCCTCTGTAGTTGTCACATATTGTTTGATCTCCTTTTTGTCTTCTGGCAACTTTATTTGCTTCCAGATCAGTTCTACCAGTCTACATATACAGTATGTCAGGATTTTTTTTTTGCCATGCTTTAAAAGTTCTGAAGGAATGCCATCTGCCCCAGGAGCTTTGTTTTCTTTCAATTTCTGTATAGCTTGGATGACTTCTACCTCTGTTGGGATGTTATATTTCTCTCTTTCATTGTCAATATCCTCAAGTTGGATTTCTGATTCATGGAGCCCTGTCTCACCTCTTATATTTAGCCTTTCCTCAAAGTTTTCTGCTCATCTTTCTAGTATCTGGTCCTGATCACCAATGATCTCCCCTGTTCTATTTTTAACAATTGATAATCTAGGTTTGAGTTCTTACCTGTTCTGGTTAATCCTCTCGTAGAACTTTCGCGTTTCTGCTTGTGCCTTATCTCTAGTTCTTTTAGTTGGCTGTCTATATGCTCTTTCTTATTTTTTTTAGTATTCGTTTTTCCTCTCGTCTCAGCTGCCTATACTCTTTCTGTTTGTCTCGTTCTTCGCCCTTGGAGTCTTCTATATCCCCGATTTTTTCTTTGTGTTGCTTGTGCGCATTCTGCATCGCACCAGTTTGACCTTAATTTTTTACGTTTTTGCTTTCCGATAATAATGTATATTTTAATATACATTGTTTGTTTTAATATACAATATATATGTTAATAATTTATATATTTTAGTTCCTGTAATAATTTAAGTGAAGTTGTTAACGCCTAGTAAAAAATGAATATATAGAGTCTGGGATCAACAGAATAGGATACAAAACATTAAAAGCAATAAGACAAATTGAAAGAACCAAAGAATTAAGATAAGTGAATAAATAAACCAACAAATTGATTATTTAAGACTGAGGATTCTTCATGGTATCTTACATCTGTTTTTTACTATATACTATTATTATTATGTGCCTAAAGTCTTTATTTCAATCAATGCATAGAAAATTGCAGTATTGCCTACACACCCATTCACTGTTATCATTCTCGAAATATGCTCTCCTCCTCAGTTCTAATCCCTTTTGGGATGTGGTGACACCATCAGGCCTTCACAGTTTTTTTAGGATTTCCCTCCATCCTTCTCTGTCCTGGGCTAGTTGTTCAGCTTCATCTAACCCTTGGTTAATCAATGTTTTTGTTTGTGTCCAAAATACTGCAAATATCTCTGTTGTATTTGTTTAAGCAATCTATCCTTTATTTTAAGTTGTTCTAGTATCGATATGTTAGTGCGATAATAAATCCAGGATATTCTCAACATGTGGCGGTACACCCACATTGCAAAAGCGTCCAGTTTATTTTTATCCGCTTTCTTTGAGGTCCACATTATATGGCCACGAAATATGCTAGCCACAAACAAATGTCTTTTATAAATAGAATAAAACAACGTACTGAATGTAGATATCTACAGTTAAATAGGAAATAAGCTTAATTTAAAAAGTAAGTACCTGTTGTTAATGCATGGGGAATAGGGAAAGTTTCACCAAATTTTTTATTAAACATTCTAGCTAGATCTTGACTAAGTTGAATTTGTTGTATTTGGTCTTCTCCCACTGGTACATGTGTAGCTCTTAAACAAAATAGAAGATTTATAGACATTTGATATTAGGATATAGCTTTAACTTACTTGTATGCCAAAATATCTGCTGCCTGTAAAACTGGGTATACAAACAGACCTAGGGGTATATCTTTCAAATCTTGCGATTTTTCTTTATATTGGGGAAGATGTGCTAATCTAAAAATATTCAAACATTTACAACAAAAATTAAAATATCGGCAATTCTACCTACAGTGATTTGCTAGTGCCTTGATATAAACATAAAATCTTAAATATTTCAATAGAACTGGATAATACTGGCAAATATAATAAATGTAACTTAAAAATAATATATCAAATGAATTTAATTGAAAACCCATGTTCGTTTACTCAAGTATCTTTGATTTAACACAATATTAATTTTCAAATTAATTGTTACTTATGTTTACCTAGGCATTGTGCAAATACATCCAAGGCACCAAGACAATTGGCTGTGTACAGCCACCTTTGATTGCTGAAATAAAATTGTCCTATTTGGGTCTATGCCACAACCTAGAAGTGTAGCTGCTATTTCTTGAATGTTCCTCGATAATATCTTGGGTTCCTGAAAATTCATAAAAAGCTTTCTAAGTATTTCATACGTATATACTTAAATCCTTACGTGAGGTAATGTCATCGAATGGAGATCTGCTATTGCAATTATTACATTTTCTCCTTGGTCTTGTAATTTTACCCATTGTGCAATAGCTCCTAAGTAATTGCCTAAATGTATAGCTCCTGTAGGTTGAATTCCAGAAAATATGCGTTTTTGGTACTTGGTTTCTGTTTTAATACTCTAAAAGTAACGTAATGATTATAAAGAAAAGATTAGTTCAATATATTTTACTTTTGAACAAAATAATCTTTTTGAAAATTTAGGAAAAAATTTATTTCTAGCAAACATTGGATAGCAGTCACGTACTTCAATACACTCTATATTTTTAGTATGTAAAGACTAGATAAGTTTTAAAAATGTACGATTTAAATTTTCAATTGTTGTTACCTATATTTTTTGGTTATGAATAATAACCATAACCTGAAACCTGAACTTGACAATAAAAAAAGACGCTCTTTTGTTATTTTCTATAAAATTTGGATTAATTCTTCTCCCCATTATTTCTTTTATAAACTGTTGTCCCCTTTTTTACGATTTATTTATTTCTTGATATATATTTTTTTAATAAGAACTTCGAAATTTTGATCGAATTTAATTTTATTAATATATGTATGTTGGGGTAGAATATGTGTGATAATTTAGATTTTTTTAGTAAATAATTCACAATTTCGTTATGTATTTTATAAATAAATATTTATTAAATAAAAGTCAACATAATTTAAAAACCTGGATGAATAACTGTTCAGTCAAGTACCATAAGAGACAAATGACGGCGATAAATACTACCATCTGTAGGACAAAAATGAAATAACTTCTTTTTAATTCTAAACGAGATCTTCGGTGAGTGTTGTGATACTATATTTGTAAAATCCATCATTTTTCTATGATATATAATAAAAATATGTCAACATATAGTTTATATAAATGTTAAAGTACCTAACATAATCATGATAAATTTAAAATATTGTGAAAATAAGCAGATGAAGTTCGATTACGAAAAACTGACAGGTATGTTTTGTTGTAGGAATGGCAGACGCAGCGGCAAAGAAACCGAAGGCTGAGAAAAAAGCACCAAAGGAGGGTGCAACTCCAAGTGACAAACCCTCCGTTAAAAGACGTCCTTTCAAAAGACATGGACGTTTATATGCTAAAGCCATCTTCACAGGTTACAAAAGAGGTCTTCGTAATCAACACGAAAATACTGCCTTATTATCTGTAGAAGGAACCAGATCAAAAGATGAGAGTTGGTTTTACGTAGGAAAAAAATGCGTCTATGTATACAAAGCTAAAAACAAGACATGTGTTCCCGGTAGGCCCAAATCTGTTAAATCAAAAGTTAGAGCTATTTGGGGAAAAGTCACCAGACCACATGGCACGAGAGGTGCAGTAAGAGCCAAATTCAATAGGAATTTACCAGCAAAGGCTATGGGACATCGTATTCGTATTGTAAGTATAAATTTATTTAACATTATAGAAAAGTTTCACCCAGTAAAGTTATTACTTGATTTTACTTAAGTTTATTTAATTAATTATATATCGCAAGTCAAATAATCCCTCGAAAATCTCCCGAAGTTGTAGTCTTATTTGAAATAAAATCCTGGCTTGAACCTTGGGCAATTTGTATTCAAAATCAATTTTCTGCAAACAAGTATTCCTGTAGGAAAATTGTTTATTAGAGCAGAATGCTTAATAAACTCCTAAATGTTTAATTTGTTTTATGTTATATTGATTGCTAGCATATTTAGAGCTTATAAGGTTATATTAAGTGTTTTTAATGTAAACTTTGAACTTTTAAAACAATATTCAAACATTACTTAATTACCAAACTAGTGCAAAACTGCAATACAAAAGCTAGGAATTTTTTAACTGATCTAGCTTCACCTTTATTGTAAAAATAAATAAAATATGCAGAATACGGAAAAAATAAAAATTTAGAAAGAAAAATGGTATAAAAGTGAAACACTAATGTAAATATTGGCTAATTTGATATCTAGAAAAGCCTGAATTTAAAAGATAAAAAAAATAAGATAATAAATTGGGAAAGATGAAAAAAAAATCAGAAAACAATGCAAATTAAAACAGTTTAACAGACATGTTAGTTTCAAAGACTATTTACAAAATTACATTTTTAGATTTAATCATTCAAAATTTTTAACTTCAGAAATTCTATCAACAGGATATAAGCTAATCCTAAGCAATCATTTAAGGATTATTTTTCAGTTTGTTGATGTTGTGTACTTTTATTTAAGTATTTTGACTTAACAATAAAAATGGTAACATTGGATATGAGAAGATGTAACTATGTTCTTTTGTTAATGTTTTGTCTTATTGTCATGTAATATGGTTACGTGGTAAAATAACAACTCCATGTTGTTTTATGGTTGTTGTGAAATATTCTGAATATATACAGTAGTTTGAAAAAATACATACACATGATGCTTATGACATTTGAAACCTGAATAAAATTCATGTTGACAAATTTTACTGATAAATTATTTTAAATACCCATTTTTTATAGTAATTTTTAGAAAGATACTAATAATTTGTTTCTTTTTTCAGATGCTGTACCCATCTAAGATATAGTTGTTTTTATAAATAAGAAATAAATACGTTTTCCAACATATAAAATGTTTTATTTCCATTTTATAGTTCTTTTTGTTTTGGATAAAATTACATCTGCCCTCTACAGGATTAAAAAAAGATGTTCGCATTATTAGCAGAAGTTGAGAGAAAAGAAATCCGTTCAAACTTCCTACCTTGCATGAAGTCTGTGACTGCTATGCAGCTGTGGTAGTGGCAGTGTGATCTTGGAATTGTTACCAAACATAATATACCGAAATAAACTGAGAATAGCAAGAGACCAATCAAGACAATGTTTTATGCAAAATTCTCAGATTCTATATTTTTTTCAGGTCACACAGCACCTATTTCTAGATCAGCTCTAAGCGTTTGTCAAAATATAGTCAACTTTTTAGAGAGTTATAGATATAATTTAAAAGAAATAGTGGTAGTAGGCTGTGACAGAACTGTGGTAATTATGGGAAGAAAAAATGTGTAATTTCTCAAGAGTTTAGGACACCTTTTACAAAGATTTGTCTGTCAGCTTCACACTAATGAATATCCTTTAAGGTATCTTTTCCAAAAGCTTGATGGTCAAACTCAGGGTCCAAGAGCTTTAGCATGAACTATAGGAAATCAAATTTGGCAAAGTAATGTGACATTTTTGGTGAAAATCATGTTTTTCAATTAAACTAACACTTATTGTTAAAAAGGTACTGCCAAAGTGTCATAAGCCTAGAATTACTTTAAACCTTTTTTAGGACAAGTTTTTTTAGTCATAATTTAAATAAGTAACCAGGTTGAATTAAAAAATTGTTTTTTCTACAAATCATGTTTGGTGACTTACATTACTTTGCCAAAAATGTATCGAAATATTGCAGTGCGAAAATACATCAAAGTGTTTTTAGACACTAAAATTGTAAATGCCAATATTATTCCATAAATTAATTTTGACGCAGATGACTACATTGATCTGATTGATTGGCAAAACAATAAAATAGCTTGCACTTCAATGTTTGAAAGTAGAGGATTTGAAACATATCTCTAGTTCTCCTGACAAAATCATTGCTATGTTTCCCTGTCACCCAATCTGTAGAAATATTCGTGAAGCTTTTAACTGAAGCATCTTTATCAGTTGTTGGTAAACGCAAAGATATGCCAGCCAACATTTAAAGTAAAAAAAAAAGACTACAAAAAATAAATAATCAAAATTAAGAGGGTGGGTAGATTTATAAAAATTGACATATTTCAAAGATATTTCAGTTGGATATCATTTTTATAATAACATGTAAACTTAACTTTTCAATTAAAATCATAAGTTCGTATTTTTAATTTTTTCAACCCCTGGTAGAGGACAGAAGATAAACTTTTTTTGAAAAATCACAAAGATTAGGTTTGTAATACCAACTGGCAACTTTGCACACTACTCCAAAACTTTTTTTCGATCCACCCTAATGTATATTCTATTTTCAATTAAAATTGTGGTTTATTCACATTAATATAGTAGAAGATAGTTTCATCTATCATACATGTTTTAATATCGTAAATTTCTTTAATATAGTACATTGAAAATACTATTACATTGTTTGATAGAGAGTACAATATTGCTAATTTCTGGCAATACTTGGTAAGGTGTACTTGGTGATCTTCTTGTTGCATTTAAAATTTAGATTATTCTTTCGTAAGTAAGATAAATCTTTTATGGATTTTAAGATATCTGTTTCTGATTAAAATATTAGCGGATGAACACAAGTTATAGATAGATATTTTTTTATAAATTGTTATATGTAGATCTACTTCAAAATTGGCACTGGTGGTTTGAGCACAGTACACTCCTCGCTGTAATAGTGTTTTGTACTTAGTGATCTTGCAATTAACATGCAGATTATTCTTTCTTAAGTATTACTTTTATCCTGTTATTTTATTAAGTCTTTTTTGAAAGATAGAAGAGATTTTATTTCTAATTGGAAGGCATTAGCTGAATTACGTAGAGAGTTTAGATAGATATTTTTCTATAATTTGCCACATGTAAATCTACTGCAAACATACCAGCTGGACACAACACAGCGAAAGCAGTGGAAATAAAACGTGAAGTAAGGCAAGGATGTATTCTATTGCCTCTACTTTTTAATATCTACTCCGAATTTATTTTCAAAGAAGCTTTAGTGGAAGATACTGGCATTAAAATCAACGGAATTAATGTCAACAATCTCAGATATGCAGACGACACGGTACTTATTGCCTCCAATGATTTATAACAGGGTAACCGAAGCATGTGATGAATATGGACTAAAAGTTGACACTTCTAAGACAAAACTCATGGTTGTCAGCAAAACGGAGTTACAATCAACGAACATCAGAGCGTATGGAATAGAGTTAGAAGAGTCCACAATATTACCTACTTATTAAGTATTAAGATAAGTAAGTATCTTTATTCATGTTCATTTATTTTAATAAATATAATAATCCAGTGACTTCAAATTAATTATTTCCATAAATAATGACAGTGAACATTATTAAATGTTGTTTGAACATTGCTTTTTAATTTATTTTTCTGATATCCAGTGAAAACCAGGATGATAGAGTGACCATTGCTGCCATATTAGAAGGGATTGTATATTTCAAATCTACATTATTCAATAATAAAATATATGCTTGTACTTTATTAAGATTTGTTATATGGTTACTTCAAAACAACCATCTTTTATTGTAATTATTAGAGTGAAAAAAGTAAATTCTTAACAATAACTTTTTCTGTTCTTTACAGTTTTATAATGTCTGATACAGATTTTGCAAATGATCATTTTGATATTCTGCCGATTCCGTAGATTTGTTTGCGTTTAGGTACCTCGTCCTTATTAAGGTCCTTCGATAAAAATTTTATTACCACTGTCAATTTTTCTGTTCCACACGCAATGGTAGTAATTCACATAGCATCTGATTGACAACAGAATAAACTGCTAGGGTTTCTAGCCACAGACAGTGTGGAATAATCATCATCAGTGAGATCACAGCTAGTTAAGAGCCAAAGCCTTCAGAATAATCCTCCATTCATCCCTATCTTTGGCAACTCTTCTCATGCTCTAACTGCAATAGGCAGTGTAGAATAACTAGGTAAAAATAATATGAAACATCTATTGATACATCTTTCGAGGTAAGAAATTTTTATGCCGCAACAGCAACAACATTACGTTGATATTTCACATCTGATGGTCTTCTAACAGCCAAATATTTTTAAATGATTGAAGGAGAGAATTAATAAAATCGGAATATATCTTATAAATATTTATTTTAAATAATTAATAAAAATATGTACAATGTATGAACAATAATGTTATGGTCTATAAAGATTCAGTCCATGTTTATACATTTTATACAACTTCTATCAAGCATCAAAAACAATGAGCCATTTAGTGCAATTCAGGTACTTAAACTTAAGAAACTAAAACAAATGCAAAATAATTATTTAACTTTGACGTAGGTACTTTTACATCTTTTATGATAGACACAACGACGGTTCTGGTTACCATAGATATCGGGAAGATTTTAATGGAAGAATGTCATTTTTATTGGACTCTTGTAATAAAAACTCTTTCAGTTATGCAATTCGTTGTAAAATAAATTTACAGACACTTTATTTTTAATGAGTATATTATTTTCCTCAGAAAGATATTAAAACTGAGTTAACACTGCAACGGAAGTTGTTCTGCTGCAAGATTTTGTGTAATTTTTTTCTAAATTGGTGAATAAACCGAATGCGTTCCAGTACATATTACTAAAACTAAATGGCTGTAATGTTTATTCATCTATTTATTATCACTTGTTTAATTTGTCTAGTCATGTTGAATAAATGAGAGGGGATATATATCGCCATAGTCTCACAGGGAGCGAATATTCTTGGACTATTATTGTATTAAAATTTATCTAAAAATGAATGACTTAACTTTTACTAAATAATTACCGAATCTAGTACAAAGATGCAGGAACTTAGAGACAAATGCACTCAAAGAATCATAGTTGGAACAAAGAAACATCTAAAAATATATGAAACTTAAAAACTCGTTCAGTTATAATTACGCTGTACCTGTAGTGTCTGTATATTTTATTTTAAAAATTAAATAACTGCTATACTGTGGGAGTGTTTATATGGAAAAACTTGACTAGAAACAATTTTTGACCAGTTGCTTTTGTTCCCCATTACCACCCTTAATGATATTAACTCCAATGCATAACAAAACACCCCCTAATTGTACCATAATGTATATTATTTTCAAATTTGAAATTCTGCTATCACACGTCAATAGCTGTTTAGATTATTTTAATTATAAATATTGATTTAAAATGCAAAACTGTCTCAATTAGTAGATATATTTGGGAAGGTCTTGTTTTATTGATCATGAAAAAGCTTTTGACAGGGTGAGTATAACCAGCTTATGAAAATTTTCAAGAAGATAGGAGTGGACGGAAGATACAGTCGAATAATTACTGATTTATATTAGAATCAAGGAGATTCTGTTCGAATTGATGTACACAATCGGAAGAAATAAATATTTCAAAAGAAAAGAGACAGGGTTGTATACTTTCGCCGTTACTGTTCAATTTATACACCGAATCTATTTTAGTGACATCATGTAGTGACTCACACATTAACAGGTGCGATTTTCAATTCTATATGCAGTACAGTTTGTTCAGTGTCTGATTTATTGGAGAAAGTATTAACAACGTGACATGAAAATTCCTTTCAGCATACAGCAAACCTCAATTATAGTGATAATGAAATAGTAGCGAGCACAAGTCTATTTGAATAACATATAACATTAAATAGCCGTTGCAGATACGCCACTGAATGTATGTCGTCCTTACGATAGTTTCACCGGTTGGCGCGGTCAGGAAAAAACGTTGTTTTGGTGCCTCATATAATTGGTGTTTGCTGTACTTACTCCGATGCTGAAGACAAACCTAAACGAGGTATAAAAAGAATTTACGCCAGTGGTACAGACTTAGTACACGATGACTATACCGAGCAGCAGTACATGATCCAATTAGTTGTTGATGTTCTAGGAAGACTTGACTGAGAAGAAGAAGAAAGGTTCTTTAACATATACAAATTTCTTGTTATTGACATTTAAGCTGCCCATTAGGTCACGATTAAACCAAATGTTGAAGGTAACCTTGAGATGTATTCTTAAAAACAATTTTCTTAGCAATATACAAGACATTTAACAACTTGAATGCGTTAAAAATAATTTTTTTTACTAAAAAATTTTTTAACATAATTAACATCTAATACTCCATGTTTTGACGTAATTGCACTATACAAGTGGCGCCTCATATTGGTTAAAAATTAAACAACTAATGTCGAATTCATAATTAATGACAAATATTGTATTTTGCTTTCATTTACTAAATATAATACAGCATTTCAACCTAAAAAACATGAACAAAATGTAAGCAAAACTAATAAATCTAATAGGGAATTTCTGAGAGCTAGAGGATAACATGTTCCTACAGCGGAATTTAATACAATCTTAAAAAATATATTTTAATGATAACTTTAAATGAGACATGAGCGTGATCAGTTATGTTTATCGTATTGTTTAACTCTTGATATGACGTAAAGTATGCGTATATGGTCAGGGGTCAGTATAAATTTTGTTTTCTCAATGTTATAAGTACATTGTGTGTAAAAAGTATACAGGCGCCTTTGTGTATATCTTTTCGATCGAAGTTGAAATTACACATTTCAGAAGAAGATATTTTTGTATCAGAGCATCAAAAATAAATCAAATTCGTTATCTCTCAAGTACCAATTTTTTTCATTTTGTTGGCTTGTTATCATTCCTGTTCCATACCATGTAAGTTAAGAGTTTACTTTGTATTCCAGTTCTTCCTTTGGTGAAATTATCAGTTTTTTATTGACGCTTGTAAAACAATTATTTTTTTCGTTACTGCAATCGTCGATTTAACTGCTGATTCATTTGCTGTGTAAACACATTTCGACTGTCAGGGTATTGATTAATTGCGCTATTAAATGGAATTCGATTATTTTGGCACTCAAGAGAATTAAATTTTTCTCAGAAATAAACTTCGTATTTGAATAGTTGCATTTCGTTTTGTTTACTGCCAAATACGTAGAATCAATTGTGGGGAGGACTGTATTTGTAACAAGTGAGATATAAAGTATTTCTTAATTAATTATTACATAAATAATGTATATAATACTATTTTATAGAGTAGCTTACTGAACATTTCGAGCGGTTTGTTGCTCCAAATTTTTCATACCTGTGGCGCCACCCATAGAGCGCACTGACGTCATAACATGGTCACAAAATTTCATCGAGTTAGAATCTATGAAGAGGACATCACGTGACTAAAAACAATCTCACTTCTCACTTCGGCAATTAGTTTTAATTGAATAAATCATAGTTTATTAAAAATGTAGAATTGCATTTTTTTAGATTATGTTTACAATTATGACTAGTTATTCAGAAGATTTATAGTAGTTTTAATATTATTGAGTCACAACCCTGATCCCACCGCCATTTTGGTATGATCGTTAACCAAAACGCCTGACGCCGTTTTAAATATACACTTTAATATGCTCATAGCTTCTCCATAGCTTGTAACTCGATTAAAAATTCGATTGTATCCATAATTTTTTCGCATTCAAAATTAAATATAAAAAAACCATACTAGTTTAAAAAATATACTATCTTAGTATAGCCATTATTTTAATTCATAGTTTTGAAAAAAAAATTAACATAATGCAAGTACTTGTTAACGTGGTTCTTGATACACAACTGGGAATTGCTTCTTGTTGAATAAGAATCGTTACAAACAGCAAAACTAACTGAATGCAAGTATATGGAAATTAAGCAAAATGGATACAGATCACAAGATCTAGATGTGTCCAATTTAGATACATAACCTCAAAGAATAGGGTAGACCAACATGGATGAAATCGACTTAGGATCATAGTCGTATATATATATATATATATATATATATATATATATATATATACAGTCAAAATCGTTTATAACGAACTTCAGGGGACTGGTGCTTTTTGTACGTTGTAGCCAGTGTTCTCTGTAAGCAGTTCTATCGGTTATAATAATGAACAGGTTGCTATAAACGATATTACACTAATAGGGACAGTTAGTTCGTTGTACCTAGGGTTATGACGCAAAAATGTGTTACTTTAACTATACTTATAACATGTTATAATAACATATACATAACATTTAACATATGTGTTTATTGTACTTAAGCAAATCTAAATATGTACACACATATATGTATAATATGTATTGAAATAAGTATAAGTAGTGAATAAAGTATACACATAATATAACGGCTTCTCCAAATCTTCGTATTATAAAAATGTAGGCATACATATACTATTTATT